AAAAAAAAAAAAAAAAAAAGAATTACTGTATCATTCAGCAGTTCCACTCCAGGGTATATTACCCAGAAGAATTGAAAACATATTCTCCAACAAGTACATGTACATGCATGTTCATATCAGCAGTATTCACAAAACCAAAAGGTGAAAACAGCCCAACTGTCCATCAGTGGATGAATAAACAAATGTATATCCATACAATAATACAATAGTATTCAGCCATAAGAAGGCATGAAGTACTGAAATACTCTGTAACATCTATGAACCTCAAAACCAATATGCTAAGTGAAAGGAGCCAGACGTCTAAGGTCACATATTTTATGATACCATTTATATGAAATATCCAGAATAAGTAAATGCACAGAGACAGAATGCAGATTGGTGGTTACTAGGGGCAAGGAAAAAGGAAGGAATGTAAGGCAACAGCTTAAGGGCAATGGGTTTCCTTCTGTGATGATGAAGATGTTTTGGAGGTAGATAGAGGTGGTATTTGCACAACAGTGTGGATGTAATAAATGCCACTGAATTGTTCACTTTAGGATGATTAATTTTATTTCCATTTCACCTCAACATAAAATATATAAATATATATGTATATAAAATGTATATAGAAAACAGTACAGTACTTACCAAGAATAAATATTTAAAAACAGTATGGGGACTTCCCTGGTGGTCCAGTGGTTAAAAATCTGCCTTTCAATGCAGGGGATGCAGGTTCGATCCCTGATCGGGTAACTAAGATCCCGCATGCTGTGGGGCAACTAAGCCCACACGCTGCAACTACTGAGCACGCGAACCACAACTAGAGGGACTGCGTGCCACGACTACAGATCCAACGCGCTCTGGAGTCCGCATGTGGCAACTAAGACCCAATGCAGCCAAAAATAAAAACTAAAAAAAATATATTAAAAAAAACCAGTATGGTATTTACCACGAATAAATATAGACCAGTAGAATACAGTAGATGACTTAAAATATGTCTGATTATTGAAGAGATTTAATATGATACAAATGTTTTTCACTTTGGTGAGAAAGTGACAGTTTAATAAATGTTTCTGAAAAAATTGACTGTGAGGATAAAATCGAATTTAGATCACTGCTTCACACCATATGCAAAAATGAATTCAAGATTAATAATAAAAATTACATGTGGAAAAACACAAATACTTTACCAAAAAGTTTTGGAGACTATTTGTTTTACTTTAGCATGGGGAGAATTTCCTAAGCAAAAGGGAAAGGGAAAGTTACATAAATTTAACTATGTAAAAATTAAAATTTTGCATGGCAAAAGATTAATAAATAAATTATAAATGTATATATGTATATATATTCAGAAAATAAACACTAGACCAAAGAAAATAGTTGCAACATATATGATAAAACGTTTTATCTCAAATATGCACAAGTACCTAAAAATTTATAGAAAAATGCAAAAACCCCACAGAAAATTTCAGAGAAGAGGAAATCCAAATGTTCAATAAACACAGGAAAGGATGCTCAACCACATTAGTACAGAAATCCAAACTAAAGCAACAAAAAATTAGTGCCTGTCCCCTATCAGACTGGTAAAAGGAAAAAGTAGAAGATATATAGCCCAGTAGCAGTGATGCTGTCAGCACTTTCATTGCTGGTGGAACTGTGAACTGCTACAACTTTGGAAAGCAATCTTATGATGTCTATTAAAATGAAAAAATATGCTTATCTCAACTCAGTAATCTTAATTCCTATGATCTGTCCCTTAGAAATAAAAAACTGTATTCAAAGAAATGCATTTAAGGATTTTTTCACACACACACCCCCCCCGCGGTTTTACTGAGAAATAATTAACATACATCACTGTAAGTTTAAGCATGATGGTTTGATTTGCAGGTAATGTGAAGCGATTACCACAACAGGTCCAGCTTAAATCCATCTCTCATATAGATACAATAAAAAGAAAGAAAAAAGGCAAAAAATTTCTCCTTGTGATGAGAGCTCATAAGATGTACTCTCTTATCAACTTCCCTATATATCATACCGCAGGGTTAGCTGTAGTCATCAAGTTGTACATTACATCCCAATTATTTATCCTACAACTGGAAATTTGTACCTTTTGACCACCTTCCTCCAATTCCCCCTCCCCTCCCCTTAAGGATCTTTACTGCAGCATTGTTAGAAGTGGCAAACAAGTAAACAAAAATAACACAAACATCAATATGGGCACCATTACATGAATTGTATATTCATGCTGTGGGATATTATGCAGCCGTTTTTGTTAAAGTGTCAGAAACATGCCCACTAATCTCCAGAGATGTCTTTAGTGTATTGCTAAAAAGCACTGTGCTTTTTAGAAAATATGTATAGTACGATGCAGTTTTTCTTTAAAAACTTTTTTTAAAGACACAACTTCGGAATTCCCTGGCGGTCCAGTGGTTAGGACTCTGGGCTTTCACTGCTATGGCCCCAGGGTTCAATCCCTGGTGGGGGAATTAAGATCCCCGCAAGCCACCGGTGCAGCTTGGGGGGTGGGGCTGGGGGAGACACAACTTGTTTACACACCCACTCATTCACTCATTCAACAAATATTCATTGACTGTCTACCTCGTGCTGGGAATACAGCAGTAAAGAAAACCGATAAATATCCCTTCTCTCATGGAGCTGACATTCTAAATGATGGAGACAAGAGAATTGAGAAAAAGTGGAGATGTTAAATAGGCGGGTGTGATATAAATGGAAGAATTGGGGGTAGGGATTAAAAAGTTTGGAATCCTCCGCATATATGGTGGCATTTAAAGTCATTAAGACTGGATGATTTTTGTAAAGTTTGTGCGTATTCGTACAAGCTCGGAGAAAGTGTGGAAGGATGCACTGAGAGACTAGAGAGAAAGACCTAAGCTCAAATCTCAGCCGTTAGTCTCTTGGAGGTTTACCCAGCCTCTCAAAGCCTGTCTGTAACATGGGAAGAATAACACAGCTATCCAAATGGCTCCACCACCGCCACCTGTTGGTTTAGAAAAGCTGCCACGCAGGTATAATCTCCAATACAGAAACGTAGCATCTCCAAAGCCCAGGCTGAAGCTAGGAGGGGAGGCGTTGCCACCGCTGCCATTTTCAGTTAGGGCAGGCGGCGACTTCCGGTCGCCATCTTGAGTGACAGCAGAGGCGGAGCTCCGACTAACATGTTCCGTAAGAGCCGGGCTCCGAGGGCACCTCCCCGAGAGCGACTGAACGCTAACCCTGGCAGGCGGAGGCGGACAGTCGCAGCCCCGCCCCCGGCTTTGGGCTCCACCTCTCGGCCCCACTTCTGCCGGGCGAGGCGCAGTAGGCGTCGCTGCCGTAAATCAGGCGGGCGATTTGCCTCATCACGGAAGATGGCGGCCGCGGCGGTGAACGGGGTTGCGGGAGCCTCGAGCTCGGGGCCTGCGGCGGCCTCGGGCGCAGTCCTGCAGGCCGCGGCCGGCATGTACGAGCAACTCAAGGGCGAATGGAACCGTAAAAGCCCCAATCTTAGCAAGTGCGGGGAAGAGCTCGGCCGTCTCAAGGTAGGGATCGGCCGGGGGTGCTTCGAGGGGTCCAGACCCAGCCGAGTTCCGGGCCCGGGGGAGGCCGCAGCGCCGACACGACTAGGACGGGCTGGGCGATCCAATAGGGTTAAGGATTCGGAGCAGCCAAAGTGCGGGCTTGGAGGAATGAAGACGTGAGAGGGGCCTGGAATGGACCAAATGCGACCCCACGGTGGGGGGAGACGGAAAGAGGGTTTCTGGCACAGACGAGAGAGAAGTTAAAATTTTGGTGCTTGGAGACCTAGGTGGCTGGAGTGGCAGGATGGGGCTGTCAGAGTTTTTCTGATGGAGGGTTCTGGACGACACCAAGTGGGGAATGAGGACTGGACAGGGTGATGGAAGAAGGAGGCTGAGATGATGGGGTTTGTGTTTAGGATCAGGTCAAGTTAGGGTCTGAGAAATCTGGGGCTTAGGGATGCGTCTGTGGGGAGAGGGGCCCAGCCAAGTTGTGAGGGCAAGACTGAACTTAGGAAAAATATTCTTACAGTAGAGGACCAGAATGGGGCTCGGGTTGCTTCAGGCCAGGTGTGTTTGGGAGAGAGTACAAATACAGTGGGCTGGACCAAGTTGCTGAGGCGGGTGTATCTGATAAGGGACAGTGTGTGGGCTGGAGTATGGGAAGAGGTTAGCCCCCTTTCCTCCCTGGTGTAGATGGAGGGTGGTAGCTGGGCCCAACCCACCAAAGTATGGGAAAAGATTGCCAAAGAATTGAAGGTGCTAGTGTCTCCCCACCCCTTGATTCCATTGGGTCAGGCATGGAGTGGCTTTACTGTTTCTCCAGTGGATCTGTTAATACTTGTAATATGAGGTCATCTTAAATGAGCCCTCATCATGTGCCCAGGCCCTGATCTGAGGGCTTTTTGAGGACTGACTCCTGTAATACTCCTAACAACCTTATGAGTCAGGGATGATGATTAGCTCCATTTTCTAGGAGGGAAAACCAAGACCTAGAAAAGGTAAGTAATCTGTACTTGAAGTCCCATCTTCTTTCCTTCCTTCCCCTGCCCTCCTCGTCAGCTGGTTCTGTTGGAGCTCAACTTCCTGCCAACCACAGGGACCAAACTGACCAAACAGCAGCTCATTCTGGCCCGTGAGTGTCACTGGGGTTGGTGGGGTGGGGGTGGGGGTTATGGGCTGTGGTCATGGCAGGATTGGCAGCAGTGGTGGTCAGGGTCGGACCACAGTCACCTCCTGAGAGCTTTCCCTGTTACCCACAGGTGACATACTGGAGATCGGGGCCCAGTGGAGTATCCTACGCAAGGACATCCCCTCCTTCGAGCGGTACATGGCCCAGCTCAAATGCTATTACTTCGATTACAAGTGAGGATGGGCCCTGCCCCTAATTTGGTGTGTGTGTGTGTGTGTGTGTGTGTGTGTGTGTGTGCGGGGTTGTTACATGGCAGCTTTTTATCCTTGTTGCTCTAGCCACTTGAGACATCTTCCTTCACTTTGGAATTACCCCTTTGCATAGTTGTGCCGCCAGAAGCCTCAGGGTTAGGGGTTGGCCTGGAGGTCCTGAGTCTGGGATTATACCATCCAGTCTCTGTTGTGCTCCAGTCTGTCTCCCCCTTCACATTCCCACTCTAAATTTCCACTCCCCAATGTAGCCACTATCCCCTTTTACCTGCCTTGGCCCCAGCCTTGTCCCCTCAGATTCATCCCTCCATGGCAGCCAGTAGGTTCTTTGTGACACTAAAATTTGACCATGTTTATCATCAGCTTAGAACCTGTCCTGGCTCCCCATAGCCTTCAGGTTTCAGACCAAGCTCTTTCCTGTGGCCTCCAATGCTGTATCAGCCCTGACCCGTCTGTCTGTGTCTCCCCATCCCAGCCCTGTCTCTCCCACTGGACTGTGAGTCTTCTATAAGCAGAAGGGTCTTAGTCACTGCTGTGTCCCAGCACTGCCTAGCATGGAGCGGGGCCCAGAGCAGGGACTCACTGGCTGTGTGTTGAATATGAAACTGAATGGCTTCATAACTGAATGGGGCTTGCATGGACTAATGATTAAGAATTTGACATCAGAAGCCAGACAAACCTGAGTTTGAAACTAGTTTTGCCACTTCCTGATTATATCATCTTGGGCAAATGACTTTACTTCCCTAATCCTCAGTTTCCCCCCAAAACTGAAGGTGATGATTCTTAATATCATAATCGTAGTTAACACTTATATAGTATTTATTTGGGCCAGATACTGTTCTAATCACTACCTGTATTAAATCAATTAATAACCCTTATTTATTTAACCCACCTCTATCAGATGGGTACTGTGGTGATACCCATTTTACAGTTGGGGAAACTGAGGCTAAGTCACTTTACTGGTGTGAGATCACTTTCTAGGGCCCATATGATTGTGACTTCTTCATGTCTCTTTGGGCCTTAGTTTCATCTGAAAACCCAGGACCCAATACCCCTCCAAGGAGAGAGCATTGGGCAGTCATCAGGGTCCCTGAAGCCTGGAGTGGGGGGCTTGGTCGGTACCTAAGCCCTCCTTACCTTGGTATCCCACCCTGGTCCACAGGGAGCAGCTCCCAGAGTCAGCCTACATGCACCAGCTCTTGGGCCTCAACCTCCTCTTCCTGCTGTCCCAGAACCGGGTGGCTGAGTTCCACACAGAGTTGGAGCGGCTCCCTGCCAAGGACATCCAGACCAATGTATACATCAAGCATCCAGTGTCCCTCGAGCAAGTGAGGCTGAGGAAGGGGGACGGGAGGGCCTGGCTAAAGGGAGTGGTACAGGGACAGACATTCGGGAGGGTTTCCTCCCAAATGAGAGGGTTCACCCATCTTTCAGCCTATGGACTCCTTTGTCCAACAGATATCGAGCCCCAGCCCTGTACCAGGCACTGTGGTTGGTTTTCAGACTCAACAGTGAACAAAACAGTTAGAATCTCTGATTTTGTGAGGATGACATTCAGGTGAGGAAGTGGACAATAAACAAAAAGATTAAATAACCTGTATATGGTCTGTCAGATGTGAAATGCTGTGGAGAAAAGTAAAGCAGGAAGGAGGGTGGAGGGCCAGGGGCAGGGTGGTCAGGGAATGCCTTGCTGAAAAGATGAAACTTGAGAAAGACTTTAAAGGGGTGAAGAACCCAACCACGTGGTCATCTGGGGGGAAAATGGTCCAGGCAGAGGGAGCAGCCAGTCCAAGGGTCCCAAGGCAGAAACATGCCTGGTGTGTTTGAGGGGCAGCAAAGAGGACGGTTTCTGGAACAAGGTGAGCAGAATCAAGGAAGAGCTCTTCCCCGCACTTGCTAAGGTTAAGAGGTAGTTCTTAGGGCTGAGGCTTTGTGGAGGATTTCGCTGTGGGGAGAGGCCGGGAGAGAGGGCATCTACGGCAGAGGCAGCACAGCCTGGGCAGAGATGTAGAGCAGTGAGCTTGGGGTGGCTCCAGCTCTGCCTCCCTCCTGGGAAATAGATGATTAGATAGTAAGCAAGGGCAGCCTTGGAGAGAGAGAGAGAGAGAGAGAACCAGGAAGGGCTTCTGGGAGGAGTAGGACCCAGTCTGCATGGGGAATGGGTGGCTGTATTGCAGAGAGTGTTCTAGTAGAGTGTGGATTGTGGAGGCGCTGGGAGCATGGTGAGGCTCAGCGGGCAGGCCCCTGTGCTGCCTCTCCCTCACCCTGTCTTCCTCTCCCCTGTGCTCTACAGTACCTGATGGAGGGCAGCTACAACAAGGTGTTCCTGGCCAAAGGCAACATCCCTGCTGAGAGCTATACCTTCTTCATCGACATCTTGCTTGACACTATCAGGTGTGTGGGGGGCCAGGGTCGTGTGGAGTTTAGAAAGAGCCTGGACTCTGGAGTCAGACAGCTCTGTGTTTAAATCCCATTCTGGCCACTTGTGATCTGGGCAAGCTGGGCACATCAGTTCTCCTTTTCTGTGAACTGGAACTGGTCATGAGTTGGGGGTAAGAGCCCTCATCTCACTATGGGTTGTGTATGTGTGTGCCCGTGGACATCAGACCCTGAGCATGGACTTGGCACCCAGACAGCACTCAGCAGACAGAGACGCTGCTGCCTCTCATGGAAGTGCTCCACGAGTCCTATGGCTTCACCTCAGAGTGTGGGCCCAGGAGTCCCAGAGATCTGAGTGTGGACCCTACTGTGGCCCTAGCTTTGCAACTCTAGTCAAGCTACTCTCCCCTGAGCCTTGATTGGTTGAACAGGGCAGGTGACGTATTGCAGCCATCAGTGCTGAACTGAAGGGTCCGGCCTGAGAGGACAGGGCCTGGAGAGTTGTCTGTGCTCAGTAATGAGAATCTCGTCTTCCCCCAGGGATGAGATTGCTGGGTGCATCGAGAAGGCCTATGAAAAAATCCTCTTCACTGAGGCCACCCGGGTCCTCTTCTTCAACACACCCAAAAAGATGACAGACTACGCCAAGAAGGTGGCTGGGGTGGAGGGCAGGGGACCATGGGGCCCGCGAGCCAAGGGGCGCACTCACGAACAGCAGGGTGGGGTGGCCTGGAGGGACCCTGGAGCAAGACTGCCCCGGTTTAAATCCAGCTGTGTGACCTCAGGCAAGTTGCCAAACTTCTCCGAACTTCAATTTCACTACGCGTAGAAAGGGGCTAGAGTTTAATATGTGGGATGAGCTTAGCCCAGCACCTGGCACCAGGTGCAGGTGGAGGCTTAGCATGTTGGTTGCTGGGTTTATCAGAATTCCTTGGAGGTTGCAGCTTTTCCCCACAAGACTTTGCTTCATTTGGTCTGGGGTATTTGTGTGGGAGCAATGCCCCTGGAGATGCTGATGCATGGGGTGCAGTAGCCCTGGTGACTGAGAAGGGTCAAGATCAGACTGGAAGAGGTGAAACTGAACTTGAGTGATTGTGACAGCTGATACTTAGTGATGGTTTACTCTGGTCCAAACACTGTTCTCAGCACTTTTGATTCACTGAATCCTCACAGCAGACCCAGAAAAGTGTGTGATTGGGGTCCCCATCTCAAACATAGAGAAACTGAGGCACAGAGAGGTGAAGTTACTTGCCTAGTGTTGTGCAAGTTAGACTAGGGTTGGTGAGGAAAGCGAGCCAGGGCTCACATGGGTAAGGGGAGGGTGCCTGTGTGATCACCCCACCCATCTCTCATCTCTCCCTTCTTGCAGCGAGGGTGGGTCCTGGGCCTCAACAACTACTACAGCTTTGCCAGCCAGCAGCAGAAGCCGGAAGATACCACCATCCCCTCCACGGAGCTGGCCAAGCAGGTCATCGAGTATGCCCGGCAGCTGGAGATGATCGTCTGAGCCCACCAGGCACTGGGGTGGAGCAGAGCTTGCATTGTTTAAGGCAGTTGCAGTGCAGGGTTTCCCCCAATAAAGGTGGATTGACATTTTCTCTCTTAGGCCCTTGTCTCCCCGAGTGGAATGGTAGGGACGTAAGTTCTTATCTCTGAAGAACTTGGAGGTTTGGGGGCCCTAGGAGGTCTGAGATAACCCTGGGCCAGCCTCTGTCCAGTGGCCATTGCTCAAGGTCTCAAACACAGATGTCCACTGTGGGGGCCCAGTGGCACAGCGGGGAGAGCACAGGCCCCGGGTAGAGGGACTGTTGCAGCCAGCTGTGGACACACAGAAAGGCCAGACCAACGTACCAGAGTGTTTCAGTGAAGGGGGCAAAGTGTCCTGATTTTGAAAAATGTTTGCAATGAATTAAACCAGTTTTTTAAAATGACATGCTGAATGGACCTCTGTGGAACAAAAGGCATGGGCCCTGGCATGGGCTTGCCTTGGTTCCCACTCTTCTGAGCCAGTGCTGTGACTTATGACCTCCTGCACCTCCCAGCCTGTTTCCTGCCTTGAAGTTCTCAAGAAGGTGTTTAAGGCAGAGTCCAAATCTGGCTGAGCCACTTGCGGTTTGTGGGATTTTCAAGTAAGTCTTCTAGAGTCGGTTTCCCTGCTGCAGAGAGGGAATGATCATTCCTGC